GTGAATGCTGGGTGCATGTGTCTTTTTGAATTGTATTTTTCTCTAGATATATGCCCAAGAGTGGGATTTCTGGGTCACATGGTAAGTTTATTTTTGGTTTTTAATGAACCTCCATGCTGTCCTCTATAGTGGTTTTGTGTGTGCGTGTGTGTGTGTGTGTCTTTTCGAGGGGTCAGGGAGGAGGTAATTTGGTTTATTTATTTATTTTCAGAGGAGGTACTGGGGATTGAACCCAGGAAGTTGTGCGCTTGTGCATGCCAAGTATGCACTCCACGACTTTAACTATACCTTCCCCTTGGGGTTTTATCTTGTTCCTTTATCTGGAGCATACTCCTCTGCCACCTCATTTTGTCTAAGTTGCTAATTGTATTTTTATGTATGTGGTAGGTTAGTTACATTTCTTGACCTTGGAGAAGTGGCCCTCTGTAGGAGGCATCCTATGTGTCTTACTTAGCAGTGTAGCCCCATCTTAATATCCATGCTATATGCTCTAGGGGTACCCTTTAAGAGGACTGTGAGTCCTGTTGTGGCGGCTATGTGAGCGGTCTGGTAGGCTGGGTTGGTCCCTAGTCTGATTGGTTGCCAGGCTGTGCCTTGTGCAGATGCTGCTGGCTGCTGTTTAGTGGGGTCTAGTCATGAGGTGGCTGGTTGCAGAATATTAGGGGGCCCTGGGGCTAGTATTGGCTCACTGATGGGTGGGATCAGGGTCCCAAAGACTCTGGGGCTGTTGCCCACCCATTGGCAGGTAAAGCTAGATCCTGGGGTTACTGCTGGACTGCTGGCAGGCAGAACTGTTTCCTGGAGTCTGGCTGCAGGACCCAGGAACACCAGAGCTCATTTTAGATTGTTGATGGGGGAAGGTGGTTCCTGACACAGTTGGGTATGGGGTCCAGGATGTCCCGAAGGTTGTATTGGCCTGCTCATGGGCAAGGCCAGGGCCCGGCTGGTCAGAGTGGGGTCTGGCCTGTGTTGCAGGATTGTAGTTTTCTTGCTTGTGGTGTCTGCCCGTTGGTGGGTGAGGCTGATCTACAGGCTTGGGCAGGCTTTCTGGTGGCAGAGGCCAGTGCCTGCCCACTGGTAGGTGGAGTTGGGTTTTGGCCTCTGGAGGGCTGGGCCATGTCTACAGGTGTGTCTAGAAGTGCCTGTGGGCTCTTCAGTCATAGTTAGAAAAATATGGGAAATGTAAATTATAGTCCTTGAAGCCCTTTAGATTAAGATGAGAAAGCTGAAAGATCAAGTGTAATAACTTCTGAAGAAAAGGCACCGAGTTTGGTCAGGAAGAGGTAATTAGTGATCTCTGAAAATAACTTCAGAGAAATGCCAAGGTATGAAGCTAAACCTTTTAGACAAGGGCTGAGAACAAATGGTTAAGGAGAATATAAATGGGGAAAGGAGATCTGGGCCATGTCTTTATGAACAAATGGTAGAGCAGGACTGATGAATGGAACAGGGTACCTTTTTTTTCTAAGACTTAAAGATATTAAAAATCAGCAAGAGGCAGAGTGAATGAGACTCTAAGAAAGTTTCAGAAATTAAAGGTGTTTGAGGGAGGCTCCAGAGAGGTAGGAAAGATGAGAAATCTAAGCCAGGGGGCTTCACAAAGAATTAAGAAATAATTTTTAGATTCAGATCTGCTGTCCCAGAAGCCACCACTCAACCAAGGATTTGCACCAAAATCAAGCCCACATGTGTACTGTATACCTAGACAGCAGAGCCCAGCTGACTGGATTTTCTGTGTTCTTCTATTCCCCAGGAAAGAGAGAGCTCCCATAGTGGAAGGAGTGTGGTCATTTAGTCACTGAACACAGCACTACTTCTGTGGCTGCTTCTCAGCTCCCGAGTGTCATCAGCATCACCGAGATGTCCAGCTGACTTGGGAGGGACTTTCCAGCTGACTTGAGAGTTTGTATCTAACCATAAGTTTGTAGCTAATGGTTTTGGGTTAGATTCTGAGAATCAAATAGAATTTTTTTTAAAAGTTTGAGGAATTAATGGCTCTAGTTTTATCCTTGGTTCACACTCTGCATATTTAGATAGTCTCTGACTTGTAATGAACCCTAACTGGGATGTGATCCCTCAGGAACTTAGTAGCCTGGGTCTTCAACTGTGTTACACTGCTCAGAACCATGGCCATTCTCAAAGTGAGGAATCTTTAAGAGGAAATCTATGGAGTATGACAGGGAGATTTCCATGGAAACTTGTCTCTCCCTATAGCATATCTAGAGGATCCTTCCATGTTATGAGTCTACCGTCCCCAAGACTGGTCCTGAGTTCCTCTGAGGGTCCACCCAGAGATGGCGCAGGAAATAACTCCAGCCATGTGCCCTCTCATGGGCTACTTCTTGTAAGTGTAGAAAGTCACAGAGGGGCAGTTTTGTACCAGTCTTATTCCTGTCCTTTGTTTTCCTCTTTTTTCCCCCCTACATCTAATTTATATGTTCTTATATAGTATTTATCCATTAAAACCATTTTAAATGCTTCTTGGGAACAACAGTCATTAAATTGTACACTTATAAGGAATGAATCCTATGATACGGCTACTATACCACAGTAAAAATCTGAAGTATAGTAGATGAACACCATTCCAAAATTTTTTCTCTGCATATATAGTGATAAAAATCCTTTTAAAATGTGTTCAAATGAATTCTAATTTTAATTGAAAACTTTTTTCTTTAACAGAAGACAAGAAATTGAAGTGAAAGAAACTAGAGGTTTTGTTAAAGTCTTTCATTTCCAGGATTTTTTTTAAAGAGCCCCCCTCCCCACCTCAGATTATGAAAAAAGATAAAGGAAAATGGTGCACAGTTGGCATCACTGTGCTTTAAAATCCCAGGTTTCAAATGGACTTCTTGGTGTAAATACGAGAATGCTAGCAACTCTCATATTTCCTCTAATCTCTCTGCTCCTCACCTCCCAATTTAGTTTTGTCAAAATAAAGTTCCCAGTTACATTTAATTTAGAAAACCTGAAAAAGAAATAATTTTTATTCAGGATATTTTCCAACTTCTGCAGAAGGATGACCATATTAAATCAAAAGCTGTTCTGGTCTTTTATAATTCTGTAGAGATAAATGCTGCACTTCTGTTGGGGTGTGTCTTGGGCAGAGTTCTTAAAGTTCATTTTAAGTTCCAAAATATCAAGACAGGAACTAGTCAGGTGTTTGGACTTTTCATTATCTCAAACATATTTCATAATTCTTGACAAAGATTTACATTTCAGATTAATCATTAGACAGTTTGACAGCACAAGAGTCTTCATTTCCTTACCTTGAATAGCAGGAAAATACAGGAGAGAAATCGTAGGTAAGATAGGGCGTAGTCAGGTTTTATATTACTGGAGACCTCATCTGAACCTGAATTAGTAAATACAACCTTCCTTTCAATACTCAGGTCATAAATAATATATCGTTCCCTCTAGAATCTATTAGCAGAAAAAAAGTGATTTACAACATAGTGTCTGAATTTAAAAAGTACTTTTAGGACCTGTTATTGATCTTGTTTAGTTTCCTTTTAAGTTAAAGTTGACGATGCCTTTCTTAAACAGAGGCTCAAATTTTGGTTTACGTATTTCATCCCTTATAGATGAGATATATTATTCTATCTTCATATACATAAGTATTATTTTACCAAAGTTTGTATTTATAACCTGCTTTACAGTCATCTTTCTCATAATTAGTATTTGTTTTATATTTAGCACAGCTTCTGCATCCCCGAGTTCTTTATTTTTATTCATCTTTTCTTATCTGGATTTCATCACACACAGCTTTTGCAAGAGGTTCTCTCATAAAGGCAATCTTCCTTAAGTTCATTCATGTTTATGAAAGCTGTCAGTGACCCTAAGAATTCTATCAAATTTTGGTATAATTTTTTTCTTTAGAATATTGTACCAACTGCTCCATTATCTTTTGGTATTGAATGCTGCTGTGGAAAAACGTGAGGACAGTCTACGGGGATTTTTTTTTTCTTTGTAGATCAGTGGCTCTTAAAGTATGGTCCCTGGATCAGCAGCATTAATATTACCTGGGAATTCATTAAAATGAAAATTTTCAGTCCCCACTTTGTAGCTACTGAATTAGAAACTTGGAGCATAGAATCCAGTAATCTGGTTTAACAAACCATTCAGGTGTTTCTCATGCATGCTAAAGTTCACAAACTTATTAAATATTTACTTTTTCTGTCTGAACACCTGAAGATTTCTTACTTTGAAATTTAATAGCCTAATCCAGGATATCTTACAATTGAGAGTTCTCTATCAAAATTTCCTGGATTCATCTTTCAGTGTGCGCTGATTGGTCATGGACACGTAGTAAACAAATTAATCATTTGGCTCTTATGACTCTGGATGGCCATACAGCTCAAGATAGTTTTAATTTATGCCTGCCTGTTGTCCCAGGATACTTATTACTAGTGTCTCCTTTTACTCTCAGAACTGCCCTAGTTTGGATGATAGACTGCATGGTCACCCCATTTATGACCATTGAGTCCAGTGGCTTGCAAAATACGTATGACTGATCAAGATGCTGTGTGGACTCTGTGGAAGCCCTGATGGGAGATGCAGAGTAAAGGCCCAGAGGATTTTGGAGCAAAATCATGCCTATTTTGAAAATTATCCTTATTTTGAGAGGTGGCTCTTGGCTTGCTATTGGGCTGTGGTAGAGACTGAACACTCACTTGGCTGTAGAATACCAGCTGCCCAACATGATCTACCAAGCCATAGGGTCAGGCATGCCTAGCAACACTCTTTCATCATGTGGTATATTTGGGACTGGGCTTGAGCCAATGTAAACTGGATGAGCAGGTGGCTCTCACTCCTGGTGTGCTACTCCAGTTGCATTGCCATCCTGCCCTCATTTTATGCTTAAGCCACATGAAGTGCTCTCTATGGCCAGTTGACTGAAAAAGAAAAAAATCAGAGCCTAGTTTATAGACGGTTTTTCATGACAACTGGAGATGACTTCTGCAATGCAGCAGCCCCACAAGGAGTGGCTCTTTAGTAAAAGAACAGGGAATTCCATCCGGTGGGCAGAATTTTAAACAGGACGACTTACTGTCCATTTTGCCCACAGGAAAGCTGGCCTGTGGAGCAGCTCTAGACTAATACATGTATAGGGACTACTGATTTGGCAGGACAGCTAGGACCATGAAAGGAATAAGCTATGAGGATTGGTAACAAGTTGGTCTTGGGAAAGAGGTATGTGAAGGGATCTCTCAGAGTGAACTTGGAGTGTGAGAATGTGTGTGTCCTGTGTAAATGCTCACCAAAAGGCCTTTACTTCAGAGTTTTTCTTTACCCAGGTAAGCATGATGACCCTCCTAATTTCAGTGCTAGGGACCCTATGATCAATTATTCAGTGCCAAATATTCCTGTGGGTCAAACCATTATGATTACCCACACCGGTCCTTCTTATTAAAGTAACCAGCCCAAGTTGTCTCTGGTAATTTGGTGCTACTTATCTCTGCCAACCCAAGATGTCATCATCCTTATTGAAATAATAGAACCTATTTCAATATCAGTATTTTCCACCTTCATCTCTGACCTATAGAAGACAGCCACTGTGGTGCTTTTCAAATATGCTGGTACTACCTTCATTAATGCATTTCTCAATGTTCTTCTGACAGCTATGTCCTCAAACTGGGACGGCTTGAGTGGCTAATACATAACAAGTCCACTTTGACATTGTCATCTCCCTAAGTCTTTCTGTTCCTTCTTTTATAAGAGATTTCTGGCATTTCAACTAATCATAGGCCAGAAGTGAATCCAATTTTCAGTCTACAAAAGATAAAATAATTAGAATTCTACCAACTGCATGTGATAGCACACTGAATCCAGAATCTCTGGTAAGTGCAACTATGTAATAATGTCAGCCTAACTGAAATGATTTTCCTCCATTTCTGGTGTAGTTCCTTCATAATTTGGTTCCATGTACATTCCTCCAGGTTTTTGCTGATAAACATTAGTGCAGTTTAGTAACTTGTTTATCATGCAAGCCTTTTGCTCCCAAATTTGACTTGGTAATTGGTCCCACAGGCATTTCAGGATCTTCCTCTGGCCGCAGATGTGGAGGCAATGAAGGGGAGTTGGGTAGGGCATGAAGAGAATTGGCACTCACTTGCCCGGTAATTACCTCAAGTAGGGTCATTACAGGGTCTTCAAGCAAGGGAGGATCACCATCAATCAGGAGTGAGGGGCTGCTCTGCTGGCAACAGAGGCTCTCAGTGTTTGCAGTTAACAGATTCCTAGAGTCATCTGAATTCTTCTAGGATAACCGTTCCAATTCCTGGGTCCCCTGTGTTCCTGACAGCCTGTCCCCTTTTCTTTCTCACTGTTCCCTTGTCTGTTTTTGTCTCTTCCTGTTGTTGCTCTTTTTGTCTCGCTTACAAGCTGTGTGCCTTCATACTTCAGCTTTTCTCTCTGTATTTGCTCATCTGTCCTCTCAGCTGACCACCTTCTTTTACATGATTCTAATCTCACCCCTGTGTAACTTTTGCTTACACAAAACTAGCTATGCTGCCAACACCCCTGCCCCGCAACAACCTACACATCCTTCAATTTGAGTGCCCTACACCATCTGACTGGCTCTCTGAACCTTTGACTCAATTCTAAACTCTTGAGAGATTCTGATGAGCCCTACTTGGGCTGATGCTCCACCCTTGGTCCCATCTCCAAAGATGGCAGAGTCACTTAATACCTAGGGTTTCCCTTCCTCTGGGTCGTGGCTGGTGAGGTTCTGTAAGAGAGGTTTGGGCTGGGAGGATTCTGTGGAGGATGTGAAAGAAATATGATGCTGTGCTTCATTATTAGTATTCTGCCTCCTTTTGAGTTTCTGTAATTGAATACTGTAAAGATTATAGTTGGAGTTAGGTGAGGGTAGATTTACAACAATAAAGTTCTAATTTACTGAAGATCTGAACTTCCTTTCCTACGCGTTAAAGCTTAACATAGTAGATTGTAGTATTTATGGAGTCCCTACTGTATCCCCAAAGCTTTGCACATATTTTATTCTCTGAGAAACTCTATTAACACTTATTATCACCCTCTACTCTAGTCTCAGAGAGACTAAGAAACTTTGCAAAAGGACCCACAGTAGTAAATAGAGATTCAAACTAGAGTTTGTTATTCCAGGCTCCGTGGTTTTTCTAGTAACAATACAAAGCTCTCTCTCCAACCAGAGCAATAAGGAACTTACCTTTAGTTAAAATGAAATCCACTTCTTTTAGAGATCCTAATGTCTCAGAAGGCACCAGAACAAAGCAGAAAACAGGCATGTTAAAGGAGAATTGTGCTGGCTTTGTCTGTTATGGCGCAGCCTAGAAAGGAGGCCACTCCTCAAGCTGCACGTTGCAGCACAGTCTGTGTGCCACCATACAGGACGTGTAATTTCTCAGGGACCATACAGGACCTTATAAATCCTCCCCAGATGCCATATGAAGCGTTAATCTTACCCTTATGAAGACCTGTACTATAGTCTGTGGAGGAAAGAAAAGGTCAACAAAACAAACACATTGTGCTTAGATTTCTAGAAAGCAGACTCACAGGAATTCCTAGGTTTCTTTTTGTTGCCTGTGTATCTCAGACAGGATGTAGAGAAGCCTACGAACTGGAACCACCAATAGGTGCAACCGAAAAAGTCCTCCATAATGGCTGTTCTCCTTAGCCAAAGAACCACCAGAAAAAGAGCAGTTTAGCAGAATAGAAAACATTTTTTTCTTCTACTACCAATCCTACTTCAGCCAAACACCAATGGAAAAACTATCTCCCCCATTATAGTTTATGTGGGTCTGAGCCGGGAGTTGAACGTTCATCTGTCAACCAACGACAGCATTCTGATTCCCCCACCACAGTGGTGTTCACAAGGTCAAAGTCCCAGAAGGAGAGAGAGAGAGACAGGAAGGGAAGGAGAGGGGGAGAAAGAAGGAATGGAAAGAGAGAAGGAGAAATAAGACAGAATCAATAGTTGAAGAGATAATGGCTAAAATTTTTCCAAAACTGATGAAAGATATCAAGCCCCTGATTCATGGTGACCTGCAAACCCCAGGCAGGTTGAGCATAAAGAAGAGCATGTCTTGGTACATCTTGTTAACAATAATAAAAACCAAGATCAAAGGATAAATTTTATAGCAGCTAGGAGGTGAAAAATACTACCTTCAATTTAAATTGATTTGATGTTGACTTTTTAACACAATGATGGAAGTTGGAATACAAGATGTAAAAGAAAATAACCACTAAGCTGGAAATATAGACCCTCAAAATACATACAGCAAAAATATTCTTCAATAATAGAGGATCTGCAGATCTGCAGATACTAACTACTATATATAAAATAGATAAAGAGCAAGGTCCCACTGTATAGCACAGGGAGCTATATTCAATACCTTGTAATAGCGTATAATGGAAAAGAATATGAAAAAGATATATATATATACATATATATATGTATATATGTATATATATATATGTCTCTCACTATGCTGTATACCAGAAATTAATGACTTCAGGGGATAGAGGGAATAGAGGAGAAATATTTTTTTCAGACTAACAAAAAATGAGAATGCATTCCCAAAGAAATTGCACTAAAAGAACAACTAAAGAGTTCTTCAGGAAGAATGAAAATTATCTCAGATAAAAGCATGGAAATGCAGGAAGGAATGAAAAGAGAAAGAGTAAATACATGAATAAATCTAAATGAATATTGAGCATATGCAATGATAGTAATATTGTTTTGCGGGGTCCAAAATATATGTAGAATTAAAATGCATAAAAACAATACAAAAAGAAGAGAATAAATGGAATTATAATGCTCTAAAATCCAAGAATTGCCAGGGCAGTAGTTAAATTAATCATGTGTATTTACTATAAGAAGCCCAGGGTGTATGTAATAATCTGAAGGGTAATCACTAAATACATTTTTTAAAAAAGAATGTACATAACCAAAAAAAAGCCAATAGTAGGGGAAATGGAACAAAAAATATTTGATAACTCAAAAAGGAGGCAGAAAAGGAAAGCAAAAGAGATATTAAACAGGCTAATTAAACAGAAAACAAACAAAATGGAAGACAAAATCTAAATATACCAATAATTATATTACTAAATATGAACAGACTAAATATTCAACTGAAAGACTTAGATTGGATTTTTTAAAAGCATATGGTACCTATAAGAGACACATGTTAAATATAAAACCAAAGAAAGATAGAAGGTAAAAGGATGGGAAAAAATATTCCATGCAAATGTTAACCAAAAGAAAACTGATTTAACTATATTAGTATCAGACAGGGTAGATTTTAAGGCAAGAAGCTTTAGCAGGGATAAAGAAGGAAATGACATGATAATAAAATAACCAATTCACTGTAAATGATATAATAATTATAAATCCACATGTAATACAACATAGCTTCAAAATATATAAAACAAAATTAAAAGTAGACAAATCTACAATCACGGCAGAGACGATTGCTCTGATATTTATAGAGTATAGCATCTGACAGGACAGAATGTGTATTTTTTCAGGTGTACATGTACTGTTTACCAAAACCGAACTGGATCATATACTGGCCTTTATACAAGCCTCAACCAATTTCATTTCATTCAGACTATATTCTCTGACTCCAGTGGAATTAAGGTAGACATCGATAATGAAAGGATAATTTAGACTATCTTGAAATGTATGAAAATTAAGCAATACTTATAAATAACCCATACGTTAAAGAAGAAATCACAAAGGAAATTAGAAAGTATTTTAAACTGATGAAAATGTAACTCACAGGATCCTGCAGCTGAGCAGAGGAAATAAAACAACACAACATACCTGTGCTACAACATAGAAAATGATAACTATCTTCTACCAAATAACACACAGACCACTAGTTAGGTTGAGAGACTGGAGCAATCATGTGTATCCCAGTAGTGCATCAGAAAAGACCTCACCTAGATAAAATGGAGATCATTGGCATTAAAAAGGGGTTAAAGAATTGAACCTTGATATTAATTTTTATGCCTATGGATGTGGAAGATGCCAAAAATGATTGCAGAAGATAAGCCAGAATAAGAATGAGAGTCAGATACTACAATTAGGAAGACATAAAGTTTTTGAAGAAAAAAATCTGAAAACTGAGAAGTTATGTGTTCATTGATGGCAAGAACTGTGTTACATTTATTTTTACGTCTTTCATGCATATAGCACATTTGGAACATAGCAAGAGCTCAATAGATATTTGCTGACTGAACTAACTCTTGTGTCCTCAGAAATTCATATTTATATATGATATGCTAGGTGACTATCTCAAATTGAAAGGTCAGGTGATGTAGAGGTGACATATTAAGAACTGAGTGACAGAAAATGCCAGCCAAGATCTGGGGAAGAACTTTCCACACAATGCGAAGATCCTAAGGCAGGTTCAAGCTTGATATGTTTCGAGAATCAGAGAAAGTCTGAGTAGTGGTAGTGTAGTAGTTAAAGGAGCAGAAAATGATAATGATGAGGTTAGGCAAAAGCCACTTCATGTAGGACCTTACAGATCAGGGTAAGGAGCTTGCATTTTATTCTTTTTAAGATTTTACTGGGAGAAGAAATCATGGAGGGTGGACATCAGGAAGGGGTCAAGACTAGATCCATTTACTCTGATTCACTGCGTTAACATACTATTATAACTGCTGCTTCTCCAACCTCATCTCCCCCCCACTACTCTGCACCTCTACGCCGCACAGGTCAGGCTACTCATCATTTCCCCAACGTTTCGTTTTCCTGCCGCTTCACCTTTGCTTGTTTGTGATGGGCCCTCTACCTAGAATGCTCTCTCGTCCCTTGCTTCTATGACCAAATTCTAGTCACCTTCAAGGTCAAGCTTAAAATGCTATCTACTCCATGCTTACTTTGTGAATCCTTCCCTAATTCTCATGGCCAGAAATAATCTCTCCTTTTTATGACTTTTCATAACATTTTATAATTGGTATAGGTAACATTCTATCTTCAGTAAACAGGATTGAAATAATGCATGTGAAAAGTAAGATGCTAAACAATTACATTTTTATTTAGATGATAGTTATTGAGGTACATGCCTTATCTTCCTTCTGCAGACTTCTTAAGAGTAGGGGACTCTTTTTATTCATACCCATTTATTTCTCCCATAGCTTCTGATATGCCTTTCAGGTTTAAAAAAAAAAAAAGGTCCATTAAATTAAATTAAATTGTGGAGGCAAAAGGATTTGGGCAGAACTTACATAGGAATTACCAGAACCGAGGTTTCCTAATAGGAACATGTGCTTCCTTTAGGTCAAAGAATTTTTTTTTCCGTTTTAGTTTTGTCTAATTGTAATAAAGAATGTATAATTAAATCACATCCTCCTGGTTTTCCTCTTACTTCATAAATCACCCATTCTCATCACCTTTTCTGGATCTTCTTCCTCTTACAGATTTTTAATGTTGGAAAACCCCAGGACTAGTCCTTGAACCTCTTCTCTGGCATACATTCACTTCCTAGAATATCTCCTCCAGTGTCATGGCTTTAAATACCATTTAAATGCTGATGCTCTCAAATTTACATGTCCAGCTTCAGCCTCATATCTGAACTTCAGACTCATGAAACTGCCAGCTCAACATTTCTAATTGGATACCTTATTGGCAACATGCACAAAACTCTTAGTTACTTTACACTCTAAACCTATTCTTACCCTAGTCTCCCTGCACCCAGGAAATTGCACCATCATTCTCATTACTAAAGCCCCCAAGTCAAAGGGTCAGCGTTGATTTCTTTCAAACCGTATATGCAAACCATACTCAAATCATGTCA